TTGGCCCCGACTCATAGCGACCCCTCCTTGGGTTTCCGAGGCAGTATCACTACAGAAGTAGGATTGCCCAACCTTCCTTCTGAGGAGTGGTTGGTGGGTTTGAACTGCCAGCCTTCTGGTTAGCAGTCAACTGCCTTAGACACTATGCTACCAGAGATCCTTAGATGTCTAATAGGCATCTTAAATTGCCCTATCCAAAACAAAACTCCTGATCTTCCCCTGGAAACTGTTCCTCACATAATGTTCTGTACCTCGGTCAATAGCATTTCCATCTTCCCAATTCTTGCAGTCAAAAATCTTGCAGCCATTACTTACTGTTTCCTTCACATTCCACATCCAATCCATCAGAAATCTTACTGGCTCTATCTTGTCAATAAATTCCAGCCTTCTTTGTCTATCACCTCCATTCAGCTCCAAGGAAGAACTATTATCTCTTGCTCCATCGATTTTTGTAATTGTCTCCCCTTTGGTCTGGGTTTACCCTTTACCCCCTACAGACTTTTCTCAATTCATTGGGCTAAATTTTCCTATAGAAACATAAGTCTTCTCATGTTATTCCACTGCTCCTAATCATTTCCCTTTTCACTCGGTAAACAATCTAAAATGTTACCTGACCTTACATAATTTTCTCCTACTGACTTCAGGTCCTATCAGTCTCCCTTTTTCTCACTCTACTCCAGCCACATGACTCTACTTGTTCCACTGTATTTGGAGTGAGCCTGCCTCAGGACCTATGCACTTTTCCTGGATTTTTTTTTCTCACATATGGTCACATGATTTTCTCCCTTGCCTCATTTAGATGTCTGAGCAAATGTCATCTTTTCTGTGAGGTTTTGTTTGAATCGACTTGATGACAGTAGTTTTGGTTTTCATTTTTATTTAAAATAATTAAGGTATATAATTTTCCTAAAAATCTGTATCCTCCTTCACTGCTTTATTTCTCCATAGATCTTGTCACCATATCTTTTGGTTCTCTAGTGTTGCTGTTACAGAAATGCCACAAGTGGATGGTTTTACCAAACAGGAGTTTATTCTCTTATAATTCAGGAGGTTAGAAGTCCTAGTTCAAAGTGCCAAGTCTAGGGGCTGGGTGAAGGTCCCTCAACCTTGGGCTTCAGCTTTGCCTCTTGCTCCCATTGCACTGAAGCTGGAGGCTTCTCTTAACATAGGCAGCTGCTAGCTGCTGATGCTGACAAACCCAATGTAAACAAGTAAAATGGTACAGTCTCAAGATTATTAAACAACATGGCAGGCCACTGGTTCTAGTCCAGGAATAATCCTAAGATTGGCAAACAACATGGCAGGCTGCTGAATGAAGAATAAGCTACATGCAGGATCCTAGCATGCCAAAAAGCTCCAAGACCTTTTTCAAAGCTTCCTCTTATATATTAGAAGCAGATCACATCCTTAAGACAGGTACTTAGCTACTCACAGCAGATTCCACCATGGAGTTGATTACCAGTCTCCTCATGGGAAATCACTACTGCCTAGCCACTCAAAACCAGGCCCAGCCAACTTGACACATAACCTTAACAGCCACACAGTCTAACATACTATCTTTTTATTTTATTTATTGTCTGTGTCTCCCGTAACAATGTAACCAACACTAGGGCAAGGTTTTTGTTGTTGTTGCTGTTGTTGTTTGTTTTATCTATTTAGTGGTATGCTCAGTGCTTAAAACAATGCCTGGCATATACAAACCAAACTGAAACCCATTGCCATCAAGTTGATTCTGACTCATAAGGACCCTATAAGACAGAGTAGAACTGGGTTTCCAACACTGCAAATCTTTACAGAAGCAGAGTACATCACCTTCCTCTCACTTCCTGGCACATAATAGGTACTAAATAAATAAATTAAATTTGTTGAGCGTATGAAAGTAACAGATATATTTTCATGTAACAAATCTGGAACTTTTGAATTTACAGCCACATTCAATGGTTGGGCAAGTAATTCAAGAGTTTACCTTGGCTAGATTGCTCTGGAGATCCTTTCCCCAAAAATCAAGAACCAAGTTAAGCATATGCTAAGGACTCTGAGGATGCTGGCCCAGGCAGTATTTAGAAATCCACGTCTAAAAGTTTGCTTAGTTATAAGATTGTGTGTGTGTGTGTGCGTGTGTGTGAATCTTATTAATGAAATGCAGAAGTTCTAGGACAAACATCATAATAAGATTGGTGGCTCATCTATCAGTTTGTTGTGCTGTGGTGGCTTGCAGGTTACTGTGATTCTGAAGCTATGCCACTGGTATTTCAAATACCAGCTGGGTTACTAATGGTACACTGGTTTCACTGGAGCTTTAAGACTAAGATAGACCAAGAAGAAGGAAGAGGTGGTCCACTTCTGATGAAAAAGGTCAATGAAAATCTTATGAATTGCAGTAAAACATTGTCTGATATAGTGCTGGAAAATGAGCCCCTCAGGTTGGAAGGAACTCAAAATATGACAGGGGAAGAGCTGCCTCCTTAAAGTGGAGTCAACCTTAATGATGTAGATGGAATAAAGATTTCAAGACCTTCATTTGCTGGTGTGGCACAATTCAAATAAGAAGAAACAGGTGCAAATATCTACCACCTGTTGCAGTGTGAAATGTATAAATTATGAATCTAGGAAAACTGGAAGTTGAAAAAAAATGAAATGGAATGTATAAAGATCAATATCCTAGGCATTAATGAGCTAGAATGTATTAGTATTGGATATTTTTAATTGAAAAATCATATGCTCTATTATGCTAGGAATGACAAATTAAAAAGGAATAGTGTTATATTTATCACCAAAAAGAACATTTCAAGATCTATCATAAAGTACAATATTGCCAGTGATAGCTTAATATCCATACGCCTACAAGAAGACAAGTTACTACTACTATTATTCAAATTTACACACCAACCACTAAAGTCAAAGATGAAAAAATTGAAGACTTTTACCAACTTCCACACTTTGAAATTGATCCAATGTGCCTTCGACATGCATTGATAAGTACTGGTGATTGGAATCTGAAGGTTGGAAACAAAGAAGTGTAGGTTGAAAAATATGGCTTTGGTGATAAAAATGATGCCAGAGTTTGTATGATAAAATTTTGCAAGACCAATGCCTTATTCACTGCAAGTATCTTTTTCCAACAACATCAACAGGGACTATACATGTTGCTAGATGGAATACACAGGAATCAAATTGACATCTGTGGAAAGAGATGATGGAGAAGTTAACTATCATCAGCCAGAATAAGGCCAGAAGCTGACTGTGGAACAGACCATCAATTACTCATATTCAAGTTCAAGTTGAAGCTGAGGAAAATTAAAACAAGTTCACAAGTTCAAAATATGACCTTGAGTAATGTCCCACCTGAATTTAGAGACAATCTGAAGAACAAATCTGACACATTGAATTTAATGACCAAAGACCAGATAAGTTGTGGGATGACAACAAACACACTATACATGAAGAAAGCAAAAGGTCATTATAAAGACAGAAAAGGAAGAGAAGACCAAAGGGGATGTCAGAAGAGACTCTGAAACTTGCTTTTGAAATGGAGAGTAGCCAAGGAGGATGGAAGAAATACTGAAATGAAAGAACTGAACAGATTTCAAAGGGCAGCTCAAGAAGACAAAGTAGAGTATTATAATAAAATGTGCAAAGACCTGAAGTTAAAATATCAGCAGAGAAGAACACTCTTGGCATTTCTTAAGTGAAAGAACTGAAGAAAAATTCAAGCCTTGAGTTGCAACATTGAAGGATTCTGTGGGCAAAATATTGAATACTGTAAGAAACATCAAAAGAAAATGGAAGGAACACACAGTCACTGTACCAAAAATAACTGGTCAATGTTCAAGCATTTCATGAGTCACCATATGATCAAGAAGCAATGGTATTGAAGAAAGAAATCCAAGCTGCACTGAAGGCATTGGCAAAAAACAAGACTCCAGGAATTGACTGACTACCCACTGAGATGTTTCAATAAATGGATGCAATGCTGGAAGCACTTACTCCTTTATGCCAAGAAACTTCAAAGACAGTTACATTGCCAACTGGATGAAGAGATTCAGATTTGTGCCTATTCCAAAGAAAGGTGATCCAACAGAATGTGAAGATTATCAAACAATATCATTAAAATTACACCCAAATAAGATTTTGCTGAAAATAATTAAAAAACAGCTGCAGCAGTATATTGACATGAACTGCCAGAAATTCAAGATGGATTCAGAAGAGAACATGGAAGGAAGGATATCAATGCTAATGTCAGATGGATCTTAGCTGAAAGCAAACAATACCAGAAAGATGTTTACTTGTGCTTTATTGACTGTGCAAAGGTATTCAACTGTGTGGATCACAACAAATTATGGATAACATTGTGAAGAATGGGAATTCCAGAACACTTAACTGTGCTCTTGAGAAACCTGTATATAGACCAAGAGGCTGTCATTCAAACAGAACAATGGGATAGTGGGTGGTTTAAAAATCAGGAAAGCTGTGTGTCATGATTGTGTCTTTTCACCATACTTACTCAATCTGTATACTGAGTAAAAAAAAAATCCCAGAAACTGGACTAAGTACAGAAGAATGACATCAGAATTGGAAGATGATACATTCACACCCTGCCATACACTGATGGCACAACCTTGTTTGCTGAAAGTGAAGAAGACTTGAAGCACTTAAAAAGACTTCAGTGTAGATTACACTTCAACGTAAAGAAAACAAAAATGCTCACAACTAGATCAATAAGCAACATCATAATAATTGGAGAAAAAAATCAAAGTTATCAAGGATTTCATTTTACTAGGATCCACAATCAATGCTGACAGAAGCAGCAGTCAAAAAATCAAATGATGTATTGCACTCAGCAAATCTTCTGCAAAAGACCTCTTTTAAAGTGTTGAAGAAAAAAAGAAAAAAAAAGCCTTTGAAGACTAAGTGTGCCACACCCAAGCTATATTGTCTTTTCATAGCCTCATAGGCATGTGAAAGTTGGAAGTGAATAAGGAAAACCTAAAAAAAATTATTCATTTGAATTGTAGTGTTGGTGAGGAATACTGAAAATACCATGGACTGCTAGAAGAACAAACAAATCTGTCTTGGAAGAAGTAAAGCTGGAATGCTCCCTAGAAAGGAGAATGGCCAGAGTTCATCTTTCATACTTTGGACTTGTTATTAGGAGGGACCAGTCCTTGGGGAAGGATTTCATGCTTGGTGAAGTAGAGGGTTAGCAAAAAAAGGCAGAACCTCGAGGAGATGGAGTGACACAGTGGCTGCAACAATGGGCTCAAGCATAGCAATGATTGTGGAGATGACGCAGGACCAGGCAGTGTTTTGCTCTATTTAACATAGGGTCATAAGGGTTGAAAGTGACTTGAGGGCGCTAACAACATCAGCTCTAGGAAGTGTTCTTTTTTTTTTTTTTTTCCTTTCAATTTTTTACTGTGACTTAGGTGCAAATTTGCAAAGCAGGTTCATTTTGCTCTCAAGAGTTCATATACATTTGGTTTCACAGCCCTGATTATAATCCCCAACCATAAAAATCTCTCCTCCCTTGTCCTCCCATGACTACCCCTTCCCTGTGCCCTTTTTATCTATGCATTCCTGTCTGTCTGTCCAATTTCCTTCTCTATGTTAATGCTACCCATCTGATGTCTCATGGTTGACTCATCTAAGGGGATGCATCTTCTTTGGCTAGGTGTTCTGCATGTAGGTTTTTCTACTATTTAGCTCAGAGCTAATCCACAGGAGACCATTTCAAAGCCCAAAGGATAACCCAGGGCCATGGTCTCAGGGGTTCCACCAGTCTCTATCCAACCAGTACTTTTGGTCATTTTTGTGTTTCAAATTTTTCCTCCCACTCTATCCAGGATCTCCAATTTTGATCCCTTTCCAAGTATTTGGTATTGGTAGTCAGGCACTATCTAGTTCTTCTGGTCTCAGGCTGAGGTCCTTGTGGTCCAACATATCTTAAGACTAATTGTTTCCAAATGACTTTGATTTTCTTTGGGAGCTCTGGTGGCACAGTGTCTAAGGCACTTGACTGCTAACAGGAAGGCTGACTGCTAGCCAGAAGGCTGGTTGTTCAAACCTACCAGCCACTCTCAGAAGCAAGGTCGGGCAATCTACTTCTGTAGTGATACCACCTCAGAAAACCAAGGAGGGGTCACTATGAGTTGGATCTGACTCGAGGGTAGTATGTTGCATTAGTTGTTTTGTTTTTTTTTTTTTTTTTTTCTTCTTCACTCTTTTTTGCTCCAGATGAGAGGAGACAAATAGTTTCATCTTAGATGACACTTGAAAGCTTTTATGACTCCAGTCACTACTAACCAAAATAGGATGTAGAACAAGATTTTTATGTACTATATTGTGCCAATTGAACATGATGTCTCTCAAAACTATGGTCCTGAGCCTGCAGACTGGGTGATTCTCTCCCTCAACATGTTTGGTTGCCTCTGAGAAACTACTCCAACATTGTCCTCTGTTACTTCTGTAATATTTGTGGATAATTTTGTAGTACAAGTACATATCTTCAGTAAGACTATCTTCAGCCAAATCCCTCCCTGGTCTTGGATATATTCCTATTCACCTACCCTCATCTGATCTTCTCATCTGTCTATGCATTTACCCATAGCCTAGTGTTTGCTGCCACTGGCAATGCAGTATTGTACATGTAATAGTATTTGCTTCTGTTGTCTATATCTTTTGTGCACATTTCTTTGTTCTCCCATTCCTCATTGTCGCCATGTGGGTCACCCATTCTTGTCATACAGCCCCTCCCCTCACCAAAATCAACATGTGACCCTGACTAGTCAGAAATTTTCCCTCCCAACCCCAGTAAAGAACAAAGTGAATTTCCTTCCCTATGTAAACCTCTCCTTCACTTTTTACAATAATGGACTCATACAATATTTGTCCTTCTATGACTGACTTATTTCACTCAGCATAATATCTTCCAAATTCATCCACATTGTGAGGTGATTAATGGATTCCTCATTGTTCTTTAATGTTGCATAGTATTCTATTGTGTGAATGTACTATAGTTTGGTTATCCATTCATCTCTTGATGGGAACTTACCTTGTTTCCGTCTCTTTGCTATAGTGAATTGTGCTGCGATAAACATGGATGTGCATATGTCTCCTCATGTCCTGGTTCTCAACTCATCAGGATATATTCCTAGTAATGGAATTCCTGGATCAAATGGTATTTCTATTTTCAATTTTCTAAGGAAATGCTATACCATTTTCCACAGTGGCTATACCATATTACAAATCTCATCAGCAGTGAATGAGAATTCCAGTATCTCTACACTCTCACCAGCATTTGTTATTTTCTGCCTTGTTGAACTTTGCTATTACCATTGCTGAGGTGAGATGAGATATCTCATTGTTGTTTTGATTTGCTTCTCCCTAATGGTTAATGATTGTGAGCATTTCCTCATATGTTTTTGGCCACCTATGTATCTTCTTTAGTGAAGTGTCTGTTCGTGTCTTTTGCCAATCTTAAAATTGGATTTTTGGTGTTGAAAAGTTGAAGTTTTCTATAAATTTTAGAGATAAGTCCCTTGTCAGATATGTCATAGCCAAATATTTTTTCCCAATCTGTAGCCTCTCTTTTTACCCTTTTGGAGAAGTCTTTTGATGCTCATAAGAATTTAATTTTTAAAAGCTCCCAGTCATCTGCTTTCTCTTCCACAGCTTGTGAGTTTTGGGTTGTGCTTGATAGTCTATTTATGCCATACATTAAGGACCCTAGATTTGCCCCTATTTTGTCTTTGATGAATTTTATGGTTTGGGGTTTTACATTTAAATGTTTGATCCAACTTGAGATCATTTTGGTGTATGGGGCAAGGCATGGGTATTGTCCTTTTATGATCAAAAAATTTTCTTCTGCTTTTTTATGGTTTCCCATGTTAGTATCTATCAGTAGAGAAACAGAATTTCAATTCTCAAACTTCACCTTCTCCCATAACCCTTGATACAGTTCTTTATTTCTACCCCTCACCAGTGAAGATTTGACTTGAATTTCCAGCTCTTTCTTCTCCTAGTTCAATGGTCTTAAATAGGGCACTTACTAAGTTGTCTTTTAAAGGACATTCTTATTTTCTTCATTCCATTCAAAACTGTTCAATTCTACTTGCCAAAGCCTGTGACCTCTTAAGTTAAGGGAAAACAAGAGGCCTTGGTAACATTGGAGTTGTGGTCAGTAGGTGAAGAATAAAGAGAGAGGCGAGGGATTCTTTGCAGTGTTTATCTTATATAGAATTTTAGATTAAAATTTTAATTACTCAGAATTCTTAGTGACAGATTTTGATTGGCTGTTTTTAAAAGATAAATTATTCTTAATATTAACCCCTTACCTTTCAGATTCTTTTGGCCATTCTTTGGAAAAGAAAGTGAAAAATAAGCAATTGGGGTGATGAGTACAAATGCGACGACAGACAAAAACATCAGGAGCCAAGACACTGTCAATGTTCCTGTCTGAAAACCCTGTGCTAGGGAAAATGTCCCTAATACAACCTGTGTAAGGGGGAAAAAAAAAAAGTGGTGATGAAAGTTATTCCCCAAAAAGTCAGTAATATCCCAGTCATGGTATTTGAAAACCCCATACCAAAAAGTTTCCTTATGCCAAGATTTAAATTTCTTTTTCAAATTTAGAAACACTGGAGTAATTATTTAAACATGAAATATAAGCATTATCTATATAGAACAAAATGAAATTTATCACATGAAGAAGGTAAAAGACCATTGGGTTCATTTCATCAGTGAACACAAATTGGTATCCCAAATTAGGTCTATCAAGCATATCATCAGAACCTACAATTTGATGGTTAAACTACTTTATCAAGAAAACAATAATTACCCAGACTGGAAAGCCCACAGGATTTCAATGAAAATCCAGACACCACATTATCGATCTTTGTTATGCTGGTTGGTGTCCCCGTTTGGGTGTACTTCAATAGACAAACATTACTGGATTTAAAATAAAAAAAAATTGAAACATGTTTTATTCCTCTAATAAGTAGGAAAAAAATAAATAATACGAAATTCTTATTTAGAGAGACACTTGCCATAGAGTCAATTCCAACCCATAGCAACCTCATGTGCAGTAGAGCAAGGAATTACCCTGAAAAATTTATCTAAAGGCATTGGATGAGTGAACTTGAGTCATATTATTGACACTATCAAGTGGTCATGTAAACTTGATTAGCTTTATCTTCATCAATTACACGATGGCATGAGTGGGTGATCACGAGAGTAGTATACAAACTAGTGGTTTTGCAAACCCTTTTCAGTCTTAACATTGTGATTTTTCATAATGCCTAGGAACTCACAATTTCCTGGCTTGCATTCACATCATATTGTCTTAGATGTAAAAACTGTTGTTTGACCTAAGCAAAAGAAAAGTCAAGGAATATTAATTATTAATTTATGTTTTACTTTGTTTTGGTTTCTTTATTGTTTTTGGAATAAATCTTTGATAGATTTATTTGCTTTTCACTTATCTTCTTGTGAATATGGAGAGCAGAATGTCAAAATCTAATGTTAAAGTAGAATTTATAATACTAATAATTTAACTTGCATAATATTAATAATTTGAACTTCATGTTTTTCGTTGGACTTTAGATAAATGTACTGAACTGTCCAATTGTGTTGTTATTTTTGCTGGGTGCTGTCAAGTAGATTCTGACTCATAGCAACCTCATCTAACAGAGTTAAAAAAAAAAAAAAAAAAAAACCTCACTGCAGTCGAGTCTATTGCTCGATTACAACTCATAGCGACCCCTCCTTGGGTTTGCGAGGCAGTGTCTCTGCGGAAGTAGATGCCCAGTCTTCCTGCCAAGGAGTGGCTTTGAATTGCCAGCCTTCACGTTAGCAGTCATATGCCTTAGGCACTATGCCACCTAACAGAGTAGAGCTGTCCAAAAAGTTTTTGTCGGCTGTATTCTTTATGGAAACAGATTGCCAGATCTTTCTTCTACGGAGCTACTGGGTGAGTTCAAACCTCCAACCTGCTGATGAGCAGCCAAGAGCTTAATCTTTGCACCACCAAGCATTCTTATTCAAATCTAAGACATTTCAAATATTTCTAAATATAAAAAATAATAATGGCATTTTTCCCTAATAATTTTTAATGAGAAGAGCACAGATTATTAAAAAGATTAAACAAACAAAAAAATCACTGCCATTGAGTGGGATGCGACTTATAGCGACCCTTCCTTGGGTTTGGGAATCAGTGTCACTGTAGAAGTAGATTGCCTAACCTTCCTTTCAAGGAGTGGCTGGTGGGTTTGAACTCCCAGCCTTTTATTCCTGTAATAAATCAAAATTCAGTACAGGACAGAGTCAAACATTTCATGTAGGCTTTAGCTGTTTAGTCTTTGTAAAGGAACTGTTATTGGAAGAGAGAGAGAGGTATATAGGTTTTTATTTTTCACTCAATAGTTTTAGCTAGCCTTATTTAGGCTGCAGAGGGCTAAATCAGACCAATTGGAATTGTTTCAAAAAATATCATTTTAAAAGTGTAGCAGTTTTGAAATTAGCTAGGAGATGGATTAAGCACTTTTGTGTGTGTGTGTGTCTGCATTTAAAATAAACAAAACTCCTTACCACAACAATGGGAGCTCTGATGGCCTAGTTCCTAAGGCATTTGACTGCTAACCTGAAGGCTGGCAGTTCAAACCCACCAGCCACTCCTTGGAAGGACGATTGGGCAATCTACTTCCATAGAGATCCTACCTTGGAAACCCAAGGAGGGGTCGCCATGAGTTGGATTGGAATCAATGGCAGTAAGTTTGTTTGTTTGTTTGTTTGTTTGTTTGAATGTATCCAAGTTAAAGGCGTTTTTTGGAAGAAAACTATGAGTAGTTATCATAGAAAAGTTTTCTTGGTTTTAAAAATATAAACGTTAACATCAAGTGGGCTAAAAAAATTATTTTTTAGTGAACTACCATATTGTTTTTCATTGGGTACCCACATGTGGTATTCTTAGGATAACCTAAGTTTATAGCTTACTCACCGATGCTGTGGGCTGGGAAAATGCCTTGTGGCATATGTAAAAAAATGACAGTGGATGTCATTTGTGCATCTCTCTTGACATTCATGAGCAGACTTAGTAATAGAGGCATTATAGTTCATGCCCTTCATATCTAGATCCATGTAAACGTTTTTGTTACAAGCTGAAAATAAAAGCAAATAATACAGTTTTCTTCCAGGGGCAACTCCCATATTTCTATCTTAGCGATTGTTCTTCTTGATACACTTTTTCTCACTTTCCCTCCTAAGATCTTGTTTTGCTTTGCTTCAATCCACTCAATTCCTACTCTAACATGAATGCAATAAAATAATGCCAATGTCCTTCATATTTTGCAACAATATTAAATTCTTGTTTTGATTTCTGACCTGGCCTCTCTTTTCTCCTTAACTCCACTGCTTGATTAATTCACTAATTAATCTATTAAAATATCTATTTCACCATTAAATAAAGTGTTAACAAAACACTTATAATTGCTCCCTTTGATTTGAATTGATATGTTTAATAATGACATTCATGTAAAATTTTAGATTGAGAAGAAGAAAGGAAACAAGTGAGAACTTAAATAGTAAGACAAGCCCTTTTGCAAGGAAAATACTTTTTAGTGGACTATAGTGTGTGTATGTGTGTGTGTGTTGGGGGAGTGTCTATATGAAGGCTATTTTTTACTTTATACTGAAAGAATTTCATTAGAGGTGTTTATTCCCATACTGCAGGGTTTTGTTTTATAGCCATAAAACAAATTTTTATGTTACTGTTGTATAAATTATAGTAAGTTGTTGTTTTTGTTATGTGCCCTCAAGTCATCTTTGACTCATAGTGACCTCTCTTTGGGTTTCTGAGGCAGTATCACTACAGAAGTAGATTGTCCAGTCTTCCTTCTGAGGAGTGGCTGGTGGGTTTGAACCACCAACCTTCTGGTAAGCAGTCAAGTACCTTAGGCACTACGCCACCAGAGCTCCCATCATATTAAGTTGTTGTTGTTGTTGTTATGTGCCGTCGAGTCGGCCCGGACTCATAGTGACCCCTCCTTGGGTTTCCGAGGCAGTATCACTATGGAAGTAGGATTGCCCAACCTTCCTTCCGAGGAGTGGCTGGTGGATTTGAACCGCCAGCCTTCTGGTTAGCAGTCAAGTGCTTTAGCCACTATGCTACCAGAGCTCCTATCATATTAAGTAGCTTTATTAAGTCAAACAAAAAGATCTTACCACTTATTTGGTGTGGGCATTGTTTGAAAGAATACCCAGAAATTGCTCCTGATATATTCACCTTTGGCAGTGTTTCAATAACACTGTCTTTCAGTACACAAGTAAACCTATTTTTCAAAAAAAGTAACATTACTCAGTGGGAATGTATGTTTTCTTTTTTTTTTTTTTTTTTTTTTTTTTTTCACTTCTTATTATCATTTGGGTGAAAGTTACAGAGCAAATTTTCCATTCAACAGTTCATACATTTTGTTTTGTAATATTTATTGCAATCCCCACAATGTAGCAGCACTCTTCTCACTTTCTCCCTGTGTTTACTATTTCCATTCATCCCTCTCTCCTATCCTTTTCTACTTTCTGTGCTTTATCACTGGGCAAATGCTGTCCCTTAAAGTTACTTGTTCTAAGGAGTGCATACCTCCCTAGTGTTGTTCACCGTATACACCTGTCTATTGTTTGGCTGAAAGTTGTGCCATGGGTGTGAGTTCAAAGTTCAAGTCAAGGCTTGAAAGGTGTCTAAGGGCCATAGTCTTGGGGATTCTACCAGTCTCTATCAGACCAGTAAGCCTGGTTTTTCATTATTGTGAGTTTTAGTCCACATTTCTCTTCCACTCTCCCCAGGACCCTTTCAGAGCGGTCAGCAGTGTTAGCCCAGCACCATCTAGTTATTCAGGTCTCAGAACCATGGAAGCTGGGTTGTGTGGCCTGTTAGTCTTATGGACTAATTATTTCCATGCATCTTTTATTTTCCTCACTCTTCTTTGCTCCAGATGGGAAGAGACAAATAGTTACAATTTAGGTGGTCACAGGAATGCATGTTTTCAAAAAACAGGACATAAGGAGAAAGCCAAATAGAAGGAAATAAACAGCTATATCTCATGCCAAGACAAACATTTTTTTAGCAAAATTGTAAGTTTATTTCTCACTCCAATTTCCCTATATTAAAAAAAAAATTAACACTTTTTCTTAAAAGTAAACAAATTTCTAGATGTAACTCACTGCTTATTTTGTACATCTGTAAGCTACATTTTAAATGGATACATAAGTATGTATTTAATATATCAGTTTGCCTGTGGATCTGCAGAGCCTGCTGTCTGTCTCATTCAAAACAAAGCTTCCCAACTCCTGTTCTAAATTCTAGCATTTTGTAAGTTTAGGGTTTTAGGTAAATGTCCATTAATGCAGTAAAAAACAAAAAATCACAAAGATGCTGATAACTTAATTCTTCAGAAAGCTTTTGTTTTCAGGTTCAAAATGATTCTTCAAAACTCTCTCAGACAACAGGACATTAGAGCAGTGCCAAAATATCACCTCATGTATGACTAGCAAATTGAAAAGTGAACATTTTACCTTTGCAGTGGAGATAGTTTGCTGTCACCTCCTTGACTGAGAGAACTGAAATACAGCTTTTAAGAGTTGGACGAACTGGAATAAGTGCCCCCTGATACAGGTGTTTGCAATAAGAAATGTGGAGAAGG